CCAAGTTCAGTATTTCCATAGACTCTTCCAGTAAAACAGTGACTTTAACTGGACAGAATCTGCAGCCTGATGACACTGCTGTGTATTACTGTGCCAGAGACTCACAGTAACACAAACAACCAGCAGCTCTGTACAAAAACCTGTCAGAGCCTCAACGTGTAAATCCACCAGAGGAGGCGCCCTCAGACCACTTATAGAGTGAGAGACAGTCTGAATGGGAAAAAAATGTGGGTAGAAATAATAATATGGAAATAATAATACTAATATGAAAAATTTTGCAACCAATTAATGTTTCTAATCGCCTCACAACATTCACAAAGGTCTCAGTTTACTTTCTGGCCTGCATTCCCGTGTCTGAGCCAGTAGTCACTTCTTGTCATCACTGCAGGTTTCCCACTCAGTCATACTCAATTATATTGCCATTACTCTGGTCCATTGATTTTCTTCATTGCCATTTGCATGTCAATATGCCTTCATTCATTTTACTTTAAACTCAATATATTCTGTCATTCTGCCTTCTTAGACTCTTGTTTTTGTGACTCTTTGCCTCCACATCTTAAACTCATACAAAGAGCCTTATTCAAGTCTCCTTTGCTTCAATCCTTTTAAAATAATCGCCCCTTACTTAATACAGTAATGCCAATGAGATATCATAATTTTAGATACTTTGTACTTTGTTGTTCTTCCACATCACTACTAATATTGAACAAGATAAACAGAAGACACTAAATCTGGGAATATGTTTTGATAGTATGGCGTTCACCCCTCCAGCAGAGTTCCAGAGACGCTCCTACTGTATTTAAGAGGAATTGAAACAGCATTAGGCATGGGAATTGTCATGATCCTGGGTCCTTTTGACCCAGCGTTTTGTGTTTTCTCTTCGCGATTTTGGTTCTGTTCTCTAATTGGTGTTTACCCTGTTCCCCCCCGTGTGTTCCTGTTTTATTGTGAAGGTCTGCGTCTTATGTGAGTGTTTTCAGTTTGCCTCCCTGGTCTCGTCATGTTAATCACTCCCAGCTGTGTCTCCCACCTTTGTGTAATCTCCCTGTGTTCTGAGTGTATTTAAGTTGTATTTTCTGTCTTAGTAATCGCTGGTTCGTCTGTGTTGTTTCCCCTCGGTCTCCCTGCGTCTTCCCATATGTATTTCCCCGGACCTCCCTGCATCCTCGTTTCTGGTTTGTGTTATTAGTTCTACCCAGTTTAGGTTTTCCTGTTTCATGGTACCCACACCATTGCTGTTTGTATTTTCGGTTGTCAAATAAACACTCATCTGCACCAGAGCTGCCGCATTTTGGGTCCTATTTCATATTCCACACGGCTTGCCCCGGCAAACCGTGACAGGAATACTGGCTGCACAAAGAGAAAAACAAGAATAATAGAGAATAGAGGAAAAAAACATGACAAAATGACCCAGTGACTCTGTTTTAGTGTGAAAATAACATTTTTAACAACAACATTTTAGGCCACAACAGTAATTACTAGTACATTGTAGAAATATTTATCAGTAGGAAAAAGGTAAGAAGAAAAGTCTTGTCAATATAAGAGTGAACTTCTCTTATATACAGACATTTTCCTGGTGTTGCAAACAGTTCAGCAATTAAATACAGTTTTGTCTCAATATTGTCTCATTTCACTTTTAACTATTAAAGCAGATACGTTGTGTCCCAAGCATAACTCATCTAATTCAACATTCAGTATTCAAATAATCTTATTTTCAATTTGCTACATGTACAGGACACGCAGGAGAATTGAAATACTGTTTCTCTCTCACATTATTCTTAGGAAGAATTAAGAAAGATAAAGGTAACTGCAGGGAAATATATGAAAGTCAAACCTATGTACATCTTGTGCGTTGTACATTGACAGTAGTGCAGTGACCAACAGCAGCAGGTATGTGGTGCAAATTTTGCAGTTTCATAGACAATTAAAGATATGATTGTAACTTGTATGAGAGAGCGTGTTACGGTCCAGGGGGCAGAGGGAGGAATGAAGTTGGTGAATGAAGTTATTAAGCGGTCTAAAGGTCTTTTTGTGAGGAGGAGTCAAAAATCAAATGCAAAACTCAAATCTTCCACCTCTACTTATAAGACTGAAAAGTGGATGAGAATGAACAGATGACAAACAACTTACATAATATATTACAGGACAGGGCTGCTGCTTTTAACTGTTTGCCTGGCAGGTGAAAACATCAACTGACATCTGTTTTATAAAACTTTGTTAAGATATGGTATATCATTTATTTTATTTTGTGTTTTCACAGGTGTTGATGGTCAGACTCTGACATAATCTGAATGAGTGATTAAAAGGCCTGGAGAATACAATACAATAATACAATATAGAACACATTTAAAAACCAACCGTATACAAAAGTGCTTCACAAAAAAGACAGAAAATAAGACATAAATATTTTAAATATAGGACCATAACAAAGTACCAAGTATGCTAACAGGTCAGTGTCACTAATACACAGAAATAGCATAAAATGCATATCAAGTAAAATATGTTAAAAGCACAAAGCTATAAAAGATATGTATAAAAGGTAAAATAGAGTAAGTCTAGGGATCAGATACAGGCATTAACGACCAGGAAAGGCAAGATTAAATAAATAGGTTTTTAACTGTGATTTAAATGATTGGATAGAATCATACACGCGGATAGCAATACAAAGGTTATTCCATAAATCTGGTGCAGCCAAGGCAAACGCACGGTCACCTCTAGACTTCAGCCGAGATCTTGGCTGCATCAGGAGTAACTGAGTAGATGATCTTAGTGGTCTAGCAGGAATGTACGATCTAAGGAGTTCGATAAGGTAGCTCGAGGCTGTGTTGTTGATATTTTTAAAAGTAAGCAGCAGTATTTTAATTTGGTTGCGGTATTTAATGGGTAGCCAGGGATATTGATTGGTTATTTACTGGAGACCTTTAATCTTAAAAAATATGATGTTACATGTCAAGGAAGTCAATGCAAAACCTGGATGTGTTATAACTATTTATACAGCATGACTGCAGTGAGCATGACAAAGTGGAATGGTCACATAGTAGCTTGATATGATGGATGGAAGAACAGGGCTGCTTCTATCTATCATAGTTTGGACAGGTGAAGAGTTTCCTTGTGTCAATTTGAAATCAAATACTTAAAATCTTGGAGTAAGTGGTTATTTGTTTGTTTTGTTTTGCTTTGACAGGAGTTAATGGCCAGGCTCTGACAGAATCTGAATCAGTGATTAAAAGGCCTGGAGAGTCTCACAGACTGACCTGTACTGGTTCTGGATTCACATTCAGTAGCTCCTATATGGCCTGGGTCACACAGACTCCTGGAAAAGGTCTTGAGATGGTTGCTTAAATCCAAGTTACTTACACAAGAAACTGTCAGTCAGTTCAAGGAAGGTTTACCATCTCGAGAGACAACAGCAAACAGCAGGTGTATCTGCAGATGGACAGACTGAAAACTGAAGACTCTCCTGTTTATTACTGTGTTTGAGAGTCATAATAAGTGTTGTTAGCAAAGCAGCTGTACAAAATCCTGCACTCCTTACTTTTCATTGTGTCAGCGATTCCATAGAATAATTATGTTGTGATTTTATCTTTATTTGCTATTGTTTGTTTTTTAATTAAATTCTTAATTAAATTTTTAACTCAAGTTTGATATAGAGTGTTCAACATTACCCAGCAAGTATAACCCCAAAACACATTGGTTAATATGAGCAATCTGTTTTCTAAAGTTATTTCGACTGGTGTGAAGTAGCAGGATAAATAAAAATACATGTGTTACAAGTATCATTCAGCCAAAATCAGATCAAACGTTGACAGATTTTATTTTATTTTTTTTTAAAAAGAAAAAACAAAATTCAAATTCAGCATATATCTTACTTATTAGCACTTTATGGCTCTTTTTTAGCACACTGAACTCTCAGTCAAGTAAAATGCAAATTTAAAATCCCCATTTAATTTGACTGCACACTGTGTTATTACTAGATGTCAGTTAAAGAGTGACAGAATAAACGGTGATAAATAATTATGCCGGGTAATAGGACAACCTTGCAGCGATTATACTGCAAAAATTAAAAGAAGTTAAAGCAAAAAAAATAAAGTCTCTGTTATTCTGGTAGAGAGATTTCACTGGCTGGATTTGAGTCAGCTTGTTCCACTAGGAAAATGGATCACCAATTACTTGTTTATTCACTTTTTTCTTCAATTGTTTTGTTTGTTGTGTCAGGGTTCCTGGGTCGGTGACCCAGTGCTTTCAGTATTCTTCATGTTCAGTTTATTTTGCCACTTCCATGTTCTCACTTCCTGCTTTTCCTGTGTCAGCTCGTCTCGTGTCATTAGCCAGATTATGTTCAGCTGTGTACTCACCGGTCTCTCATTATCATCCTCATCAGTCTGTGTATTTTAGCCCTCTGTTTCTACTCGTTCACTGTCATGTCATTGACGTTATGTTGTCGTTTCCGCCTGCGTTCAGTCAGCTAGCCATTCAGTCGGTCAGTCCTTCATTCATTCATTCAGTCAGTCGTCCAGCCAGCCAGCCCTTTCCTACTCCTGTTCTGTTTGTTCACTCCGTTGACAATAAAGACCAACCTTCACCTACCTACCTGTGAGTCCAGCATTTGGGTCCTCCTTCTCTCATCCACGACACTACTCCTGACATGTTGTTAATTATTTGAAGGAGATTTACCTTTTAGGATGGATCGTGAATTCTGTAATAATCAATAAACAATTCAAATAAAGTGTTAATTTGAAAACAAACGTGTTTTTATTTATTCTATTTATTTTTTATTACTGCTGTTTTTTTGTATGTTCCGACATCCTATACATGTTTTATGTCTATATTAAAAGGCAGGAAAAGGACATGCAAAAGTAGACTATTTATAATATCGCAAGTTCTTATCTGCTGCCCAAAAGCCTGAAAAGCTTCATAATTTAGATTTTGAATACCAAACTTTTCCCAAGTTAAATTTGCAGGTCTATGCAAAGTACCCTTGCTTATAAACACACCATCACCAACCTTCTTTTATTGTGTTACATCTTAAACACTGCGATTGTGAAGTGCTGAAAAATATGGACTATATATTATCCTGGACTTTTGTCCTTGTAGTTAGTCTTCAAGGTAAAAATAAATATTTATTCTTTAAAACCACAGAATGGACAAATGTGATAATCACTTTCTTTTTATTCTTACAGGAGTTTGGAGTGAGATCAAACTGGAGCAGTCTCCTTCTGAGGTGAAGAGACCTGGAGAGAGAGTGAAGATGTCATGTATCATTTCTGGTTATAGCTTGACAAGCTACAATATTCACTGGATACAACAGAGGCCGGGCAGAGCTCTGGAGTGGATCGGTAGAATGGATACAGGAAAAAACTCAGCTCTCTATGGCAGTACTTTCCAAAGCCGTTTCGTCATAACTGAAGAAGACTCCAGCAGCAGACAGTACCTCGAGATCAAGAGTTTGACAGCAGAAGATTCTGCTGCTTACTTCTGTGCCCGATCACACAGTGACTGAGGACAGAGTAACACCTGCACAAAAACCTCAATGACTGCTCAGTTTTCTCTTCACTTGTAAACAAACTTTATGTATCCACATTTGCTTTTATCCATTAATCACACATCAACTGTTTATGTTTGTAGCAGATTAATGGTAATGACCAAATATTTTTCTTTATCATCACCTGTTTCCAACATCACTCTAACCCTGTTGTGGAATCCCAGTGGGAAATCGCCTCCTTCTGATGATTATTATTTTTTCTTCTTTAAAGGTTATTAAGATTTTTGTAAAATAGTTTGAGCAAAGGTTGTTTGAGCAACGACTGCCTCTGATGTTATTGGTCTACCAGTGGTTCCAGTGGAAACAGTGCTACTGTTGGCCGAAGAGAAGAGAGAAGATGGGTGAAGCATTTTAGGAGGCAGCAAGATAAAAAGAAAGGCAGGAGAGGAGGTATTTTAAATGTAGGGACTATGACTGGTAAAGTAGAAAGCTGTCTGATATGATGGAGAGAATAGAATGGATGAAATGGAAAATAGTGTTCCTAGTGGAGAAAGAGAGAGGGGGTTGGACCAGACTTCTATGTATGCCTATGTAAAAGAAACAGAGGCAATGAGGTGGTGTTGGATAGGTATAATACTAAAGAGAGAAATGCAGAAGGACACATGATAGTGTTAGATGCAAAAAAACAACAACAAAAAAAAAACAAATAAACAAAAAAAGAAGTGGCATATAGGAAAAGGCTGACAGCGAGTTGTATGTGAAGCTGGGCACAGGAAGGACAAAATGCAGTGATTTGTATTAGTTAGCTAAGCAGAGAGATTGAGCAGGAAATGATGTGAAGCAAATTTGAGTCATTAAAAATAAAGATGAAAATATAAAAATAAAGTGAAGATGAGTGTATTGAGAAGACTGAAGGACCACTTGAATAAAAAAAATTGAAAGACTAGCTGATGAATAACAAAATTGGGAGCAAGAGGATAGAAATTAGTGTATCATGAAGTGCAGAGGATTGCACAATGGACTGTCATTTCTCTTTACAGACCTGTTTGATTGTGCCATAATATGAATTCTACCAGTTGTCAAATAGAGCTGTCAGCTGACTTCTGCACAACACAACTGATGGTCCCAACTCCATTAAGAAGAAATTCCACAAATGAACCCTGATAAGGCACACCTGTGAAGTGAAAACCATTTCAGGTGACTACATCATGAAGCTCACTGAGAGAAAGTCAAGGGTTTGCAGAGCTGTCAAGGGTGGCTATTTTGAGGATTCTAAAACATAAAACATTTTTAGTTATTTATCTTTTTTTTGCTACATAATTTCATACATTTGATGTTTTCAGTATGTATCTAAAATGTAGAAAGCAGTAAAAATATTAAATGAGAAGGTGAGTGCAAAATTTTCACTGTTAGTGCATATACACCCCATTTATTCTTAGCATTTTGTAATATCAAAATTTAATTTAAAAAAAAAATCATTTTTTTAAATTAAAATAATGTGCAATGTAATTATCAGTAACGACTTTCGTTGTAGTTACAACTGAACAATCAATGGGCATTTTCATACCTTGTATAACAGACTTCTTCACTGCTGTTAGACTAGTAATAATCCTCCATTTATTTGAGACTATGCAAACTGTCTGACTTCCTGTGTTACTGAGCTATAAAAGTGCAAATCAGACTGCAGAGTGGTTTTACCATTATGTCATTTTTACCAGAAAACATGTTTTCTGTAGCACTGTTACTGTTCTTATCAGTTAGATGTGAGTGAAATTATATTAGATATCAGTAGGAGCATTTTTGCAATAGGGTTTGATAAAATTTTACAAGAGATATTGTTTTCCCAATAGGTGTAAAGTCTGAAGAGTTGACACAGTCAGCCCCTTTGACTCTGCAGGAAAATAGCTGTAATGGATTGGAAGAGGATGTGCTTTGTACACACAAGCTACAAAGATTCAATCAAAAACAGGTTCAGCATTTCCACTTCCAGATATTTTATATCCACAGAATATGCAGCCTTAAGACAAAGTTGTGTTTTACTGTGCCAGACAGTCACAGTAACACAAACCCTTAGGACACCTGACGAACTCTTCAGTGTCTGAATAGTTGTAACGTGAAGTCACCAGTGGAGGAGCCCTAATGCTTTGAAGAGTAGTTCACTGTAAAGATGCAACGCCATTTGGTCACAGTCAGCCATTGTGCTTTAAATAAAATAACATCAATTTTGATGGTTGATATTTAAATTTTATACAAACTTTATTTTGACCAAACATCAAATAAGTTCAATTATCTCCTGTAGTTGAGGAAGAGTTAATGAAACATTTATATATCCATTTAGTCTTCTTAAATACTCTTTCAGAATTAAAATCATCATGCTTAGGTTTTTATTTAAAACATAACTGTTTGCACTCATCTCTTTGCTTTCCATGTTTTATGAGCAGAGATGGGCAGTAACGCGTTACTTGTAACACGTTACTGTAATCCAATTACTTTTTTCAAGTAACAAGTAAAGTAAGGGATTACTATTGCAAAAATGGTAATTAGATCACTGTTACTTTCCCGTAGGAACGCTGGGTTACTAGGTTACTAAAACCGTGATTTTTTGCGAAAATGTCTCATGACAGTGACGTAAGCGAGTGCGACATTTGTGACAACAGCTGTGTGCAGATCAACAATGGATAATATATCGAATGTGGGAGAGAGTATGAGCGTGCAGCGTTTAAAGCGTGGAAGAAAACTTATTTTTACAGCGAAAAAAAACCCTAAACTTCCAAGCAAGCACCGAGTGTGCTACGACGTAATGGGAAATTCACAGAGAAACTCGTGGATTCTTCCACTGAGCGCTGCAGCACACCTGCACCAGTGTAAACCTCCGCCTACCCTACTCCTGCTTTACAGGTGAAAATAGAGCAAAAGGACCGCTAGTCTTTGACTTTATTTATTTTCTGCTGTGTTTTACTTGCATCTATTTGAAAGAGTGAGTGTAAACACAAAAAAATATTTTATGTGCTTCAAGTTCATGTTTTTCAAGTAACTTGACCAACACTGTTTATGAGCCACACTTTGATTAACTGTCTTAAATAACCTGATAAGAAAACAGACTAATCACGTGTTTTATTGGCATGAAATCTAATGAGATCAAAATAGAGTATGTTCATTTTCCATAATAGTATTTGCACTCCACACATAACTGTCAGCTTCTTATTGTACGGATGGTTTATATGTTTTCCTCTATGCAAATTTCATTTTCCAGTCAGCTATAAAAACATCACTTCAGTAGGGTTGTAGGGATATTACATAAGATTCATCAACAACCATGTTTCCTGTAGCTCTCTTACTCCTCTTGGCTGGTGGTTGTGAGTCTCTTTACATTTGTCATTGTCAGCAGTTCTTCTTTTGTAGCATGATTTAAGAATTGGTCACAAAACTTTTTTTTTTCTTTTTTTAAACAGGTGTGAAGTGTGAACAGCTGACACAGTCGACTGCTGTGACTGTGCAGCCAGGTCAACCTCTGACCATCACCTGCCAGGTCTCTTATTCGCTTAGCGGCGCCTGGACACATTGGATCCGGCAACCTGCAGGGAAACCACTGGAGTGGATTAGTAGAGACACTGCTGTGAAAGATTCACTAAATAACAAGTTCAGTGCTGAATTAGACTCTTCCAGCAACACAGTGACGTTAAATGGACAGAATCTGCAGCCTGAGGATACAGCTGTGTATTACTGTGCCAGAGAGCCGGCCACAGTAACACAAACCATCAGCAAACCTAAACAAAAACTCTTCAGTACCTCAGCTGTTGTAACATGAAACCACCACAGGCAGAGCCCCCGGACCACTGTTGCTTCTAAATGCCCGTTCACTTTTAAGCTGATCAAGTATGGTATATGATGACATGATAGAAATAATAAATGACACTAAAAAAAAGATCATGTCCATTTAACTCACAATGTTTTTTTAATTGTTCTAAAACCCTCAAATGTAAATTGTGACCACATATATGTACTGCAGCTGTCTTCACCTGTTAATCCCCCCAGGGGCTTTCTGAGGTTCCTGCTCGAAAATGACATCCCCAAAATGAATGGAGTATTTCTCTGCAATTACAAACTCTGGGTAAACAATCTTGGTATCAAAATAAAGCTAACACTTATAACATTTCACTGGAGGTGTAATTATTGCAGCAGATGTT